TATATTTGGGGGTGTATATGTTGGGGGTATATGTGTTGGGGGTAGATGGTATATTATATGGTTGGGGGGTAGTGGGGGTATATTTGGGGGTAGGGGGTATATTGGGGTAGGGTTATGGGGGTAGGGGGGGTAGATGGGGTATGGTATATGATATGTTGGGTAGTATGGTATATGTTGGGGGTAGGTGGGTATATTTTGGGGGGGGTAGATGGTATATGTTGGGGGTAGGTGTGGTATATGTTGGGGGGTAGATGGTATTATATGTTGGGGGTAGATGGGTATTATATGTTGGGGGTAGGGGTATATGTGGGGGTAGATGGGGTATATGTTTGGGGTAGATGTATATGGTTGGGGTAGGGGGTATATTATGGGGGTATATGTTGGGGGTAGGGGTATATGTTGGGGGGTAGATTTGGGTATATGTTGGGGGGGGTAGATGGTATGTATATATTGGGGGTAGGGATGGTATTATGTTTGGGGTAGGTGGGGTATTGGGGGGGGGTGGGTAGGGGGTGTTAGGGGGGTAGAATTGGTATATGTTATTGGGGTAGGTAGATGGTATATTGGGGGGGTAGGGGGGGTATATTTGGGGTAGATGGTATGTATATGGGGGGGGGGTATATTTGGGGGGGTATATGTTGGGGGGGGTGTATATGTTAGGGGGTGGGTATATGTTGGGGGTAGATGTATATTTTGGGGTAGGTATATGGTATATGGTTTGGGGGTAGGTGGGTATATATGTTTTAGGGGTAGATGTTGGGGGGGTATTATATGGGGTTTGGGGTATATTTTAGTGTGGGATATGTTGGGGGTAGTATTGGGGGGTAGATGGGTATTTATTTACTGTGGGGGACATGGGTAATGTTTTCAGGGGGTAGGGTGTTATTTGGGGTAGATGGTATATTGTTTGGGGTAGGTATTGTTATATTTGGGGGTAGTGTAGAATGTTGGGGGGGTATACAGAATTGTTATTTGGGATACAGAATTGTTTATTTAGGGACACAGAATTGTTACTGGGGATACAGTGTGTTACTGGAGGGACACAGAATTGTTACTCAGGGAAACACAGATTTTGGTTACTGAGGGTATATGAATTGTTAGATCAGGGACACAGAATTGGGGGTTACTGAGGGAACAGAATTGTTACTCTGGGGGGACAGGACACAGAATTGTTACTGAGGGACACAGAATTGTTACTGAGGGACACAGAATTGTTACTGAGGGACACAGAATTGTTACTAGGGACAGGACACAGAATTGTTACTCAGGGACACAGAATTGTTACTTATGTATCAGGGAGTAGACACACAGAATTGTTACTCAGGATGTTGGACACAGAATTGTTACTGAGGGACACAGAAATTGTTACTCAGGGACACAGAATTGTTACTCAGGGACACAGAATTGTTACTCAGGGACACAGAATTGTTACTGGGAGGGACACAGAATTGTTACTCAGGGACAGACACAGAATGGTTACTCAGGGACACAGAATTGTTACTGAGGGACACAGAATTGTTACTGAGGGACACAGAAATTGTTACTAGAGGGACACAGAATTGTTACTCAGGGACACAGAATTGTTACTCAGAGGACACAGAATTGTTAGAGGACACAGAATTGTTACTGAGGACACAGAATTGTTACTGAGACACAGAAATTGTTACTGAGGGACACAGAATTGTTACTCAGGGACACAGAATTGTTACCACTCACAAGACACAGGGATTGTTATTGGACATAGATTTGGTTACTCAGGGACACAGAATGATTGAAATTAAAGAGTAATGTCAGGACAACACGCAGAGGAGTGGCAGAGGAGGCAATGTTTCAGGAGGAGCGAGAAGACGTGGCAGCAGAGGAAGGGGTCGAGGCAGCACTAGTCGCAGCCAGAGGCCAGTGCTCCCGTGTCATCCAGCGGTCGTGTCTCCACCTGACAACCCTGCCGTCATCGATTGGGTTGGCTCGGTCGTCTTCCTCTTCCCAGGTCACCTCTGACACCTACAGAACGGTCGGTGGGGTACGTCAGACACAACCGTTAATCTGGCATGGCCCGAAGGGAGAGCAAGCCCACTGAAATCAGACGTGTCCTCTGACCTGCCCCTGTCCTTTGGTGTTCCCTCACCAAGGCGAAGTATCGCATGCTGTGGGCTCAGCCCCACTGTACAGTGAGGAAGCTAACAGAGGGCGGTCAGAACGGGGGGAGACATCCGCCTTTCAGCAGCCAGGCGAAAGAATACATGGGAGGAGGAGTGGCTCGTAGCCGGTCTAGAGACAGGTCTGTCTCCTGTACCCACACTCGCATCCGAGGGGGCTATGCCAGTACTGGGCGGAGACCCTAATTGATGATGATGAGGCTGAGATCGCACTTGGCAGCCTCGTCGTCATCAGGCTATTGCTTCCGCATCATCAGACTCCTCAGAGGGTGCCAGCTTGGCAGCGAGCAGCAAAAAATCAGTCGGTGGGTTGCCCAGGAGGCAGCAGGTCGCAGCAGTGTCAGTGGAGGCAAACGGCCACGGTCCAGCTGCACCAGCTCCACTGCAGCCTACCATAGGTGACGTAACGGCCTCCCATTGTGCACGGAGGAAAGTAGCAGTCAGCCATGATAGGAGTGCCACTGGCAAGTTTCCTACTCCTGGTGTGGCAATTTTTTGTCAAGCCGCCCGAGGAAGAAAAGAATGCTGCTGCAAAGCCCCGTATGTCGACATGTGGCCAGAAAGTCAAGTGGCCAGGGCCCATGTTGGGACTACATGTCACAGCCGCATAGGCTGCAGCAACAGTATCCAGCGTCGCCAATTGGTGGCCTGGGCAATTACCGTGATGCTGTCAGCTCACACTGCTCTGCCTGCCCAGCCCAGGGTCCATTTTGTCATGGGTCTTGGCTCAGATTACGGGCCTCCCATAGCTGCTGCCAGGCCCCTAATCTGCCATGGGCCCCCTGTAACCGCCTCCTCATTTGCTGCTGTCTGCCAGGTCCCAAGTGTCTCCTAGCTCATCCCATGTGCCACTTTCAGGTCTCCTGTACACACTGCTGGTGTGTTCCAATTTTTGTCATAAGGGCTGGCAGATTACGGGCCTCCCGGAGCTGCTGCCAGCCCGTAATCAGCCATGGCCCCTGTAAACCAGCCTCCTCACTCCCTGCTCAAGCTGCCAGGTCCAAGTCTAGCTCCATGGGTCCCTGTAACGGCCTCCCATTGCTGCTTCTCCATCGCCCACACTCTGCCATGTGCCACTTTCAGGTCTCCTCACACACTGCTGGTGCGTTCCATTTTTGTCATAGGGTGCTGGCAGATTACGGGCCTCCCATTGCTGCTGCCAGGCCCCTAATCTGCCATGGGCCCACTTTACCGCCTCCATGCTCATGCAGGGGCCACTTTGCCAGGAAGCGTCAGTGCACATGCCCATGGGTGCCCTTTGCCAGTACCCCCGCGCTCAAGTCAGGACTGCCCATTTTTTTGTCATAGGTGTCCTGCAGATACGCCACATAGCTGCTGCCAAGTGCCCCTAAATCTCCAGGCCCCTCCACACTGCCTGGGGTCCAGACAGTCTCTCATGGGTCCCTGTAGGCCTTAACAGTTGCTGCTGTCTTGCACACTCTGCCAGGCCACGTTCAGGTCTCCTCATACTGCTGGTTGTTCCCATTTTTTGTCATAGGGTGCTGGCAGATTACGGAGCCTCCCCATAGCTGCTGCCAGCCCCTAATCTGCCACCATGGGCCCCTATAACCGCTAGTCCTCCCTCCTCATGCTGCTGCCAGGGTCCACAGAGTAATCGTACATGGGTCCCTGTACGGCCTCCCATTGCTGCAACTGTCTCCATCGCCACACTCTGCCATGTCATGCCACTTTCAGGTCTCCTCACACACTGCTGGTGTGTTCCATTTTTTGTCATAGGGTGCTGGCAGATTACGGGCCTCCCATAGCTGCTGCCAGGCCCCTAATCTGCCATGGGCCCCTGTACCGCCTCCTACTGCTGCTGCCAGGTCCAGAGTCTGTCTCATGGGTCCCTGTACGGCCTCCCATGCTGCTGCTGTCTCCATCGCCACACTCTGCCATGTGCCACTTTCAGGTCTCCTCACAACTGCTGGTGCTGGGTTCCAATTTTTTGTCATAGGGTGCTGGCAGATTACGGGCCTCCCATAGACTGCTGCCAGGCCCCTAATCTGCCATGGGCCTCTATACACACCTGTCCTCCTCATGCTGCTGCTGCCAGGTCCACAGTGTCTCATGGGTCCACTTTCCCATTGCTGCTGTCTCCTCACACTCTGCCATGTGCCACTGTCAGGTCTCCTCACACACTGCTGGTGTGGAATCCTTTTTGTCATTAGGGGTGCTGGCAATTACGGGCCCTCCATAGCTGCAGAGCATCAGGCCCCTAATCTGCCTGCTGCCAGGCCCGAGGGTAATCTGCCCCCCTGTAACCGCCTCCTCATGCTGCTGCCCCAGGCCAGAGTCTCTCATGGGTCCCTGTACGGCCTCCCATTGCTGCTGTCTCCATCGCCACACTCTGCCATGTGCCACTTTCAGGTCTCCTCACACTGCTGGTGTGTTCCATTTTTTGTCATAGGGTGCTGGCAGATTACGGGCCTCCCATAGCTGCTGCCAGGCCCCTAATCTGCCATGGGCCCCCCTGTAATTGTTACGCCTCCTCATGCTGCTGCCAGGTCCAGAGTCTCTCATGGGTCCCTGTACGGCCTCCCATTGCTGCTGTAACTCCATCGCCACACTCTGCCATGTGCCACTTTCAGGTCTCCTCACACACTGCTGGTGTGTTCCATTTTTTGTCATAGGGTGCTGGCAGATTACGGGCCTCCCATGCTGCTGCCAGGCCCTAATCTGCCATGGGCCCCAGTGTACCCAGGCGATGCCGCCTCCTCATGCTGCTGCCAGGTCCACCAGTGTCTCATGCCATGTGCCACTTTCAGGTCTCCTCACACTGCTGGGTGTTCCATTTTTTGTCATAGGGTGCTGGCAGATTACGGGCCTCCCATAGCTGCTGCCAGGCCCCTAATCTGCCATGGGCCCCTATACTGCCTCCTCATGCTGCTAGCCAGGTCCAGAGTCTCTCATGGGTCCCTGTACGCCTCCCATTGCTGCTGTCTCCATCGCCACACTCTGCCATGTGCCCACTTTCAGGTCTCCTCACACTGCTGGTGTGTTCCATTTTTTGTCATAGGGTGCTGGCAGATTACGGGCCTCCCATAGCTGCTGCCAGGCCCCTAATCTGCCATGGGCCCCTTTACCGCCTCCTCATGCTGCTGCCAGGTCCAGAGTCTCTCATGGGTCCCTGTACGGCCTCCCATTGCTGCTGTCTCCATCGCCACACTCTGCCATGTGCCACTTTCAGGTCTCCTCACACTGCTGGTGTGTTCCATTTTTTGTCATAGGGTGCTGGCAGATTACGGGCCTCCCATAGCTGCTGCCAGGGCCTCTAATCTGCCATGGGCCCCTATACCGCCTCCTCATGCTGCTGCCAGGTCCACAGTGTGTCATGGGTCCCTGTACGGCCTCCCATTGCTGCTGTCTCCATCTCCACACTCTGCCATGTGCCACTTTCAGGTCTCCTCACACTGCTGGTGTGTTCCATTTTTTGTCATAGGGTGCTGGCAGATTACGGGCCTCCCATAGCTGCTGCCAGACCCCTAATCTGCCATGGGCCCCTGTACCGCCTCCTCATGCTGCTGCCCAGGTCCACAGTGTCTCATGCCATGTGCCACTTTCAGGTCTCCTCACACACTGCTGGTGTGTTCCATTTTTTGTCATAGGGTGCTGGCAGATTACGGCCTCCCATAGCTGCTGCCAGGCCCCTAATCTGCCATGGGCCCCTATACCACCTCCTCATGCTGCTGCCAGGTCCCAGAGTCTCTCATGGGTCCCTGTACGGCCTCCATTGCTGCTGTCTCCATCGCCACACTCTGCCATGTGCCACTTTCAGGTCTCCTCACACACTGCTGGTGTGTTCCATTTTTTGTCATAGGGTGCTGGCAGATTACGGGCCTCCCATAGCTGCTGCCAGGCCCCTAATCTGCCATGGGCCCCTGTACCGCCTCCTCATGCTGCTGCCAGGTCCACAGTGTCCTCATGCCATGTGCCACTTTCAGGTCTCCTCACACTGCTGGTGTGTTCCATTTTTTGTCATAGGGTGCTGGCAGATTACGGGCCTCCCATAGCTGCTGCCAGGCCCCTAATCTGCCATGGGCCCCTGTACCGGGACACAGAAATTGTTACTGAGGACACAGAATTGTTTACCGAGGGACACAGAATTGTTACTCAGCGACAGACACAGAATTGTTACTCAGGGACAGACACAGAATTGTTACTGAGGGACACAGAATTGTTACTGAGGGACACAGAATTGTTTAGTCAGAACACAGAATTGTTACTGAGGGACACAGAATTGTTACTCAGTGGACACAGAATTGTTACTCAGGGACACAGAATTGTTACTGAGGGACACAGAATTGTTACTGAGGGACACAGAATTGTTACTCAGGGACAGACACAGAATTGTTACTCAGGGACAGACACAGAATTGTTACTGAGGGACACAGAATTGTTACTGAGGGACACAGATTTGTTACTGAGGGCCACAGAACCGTTACTTAGGGCCACAGAAATGTTACTAGGGACACAGAATTGTTACTCAGGGACAGACACAGAATTGTTACTCAGGGACAGACACAGAATTGTTACTGAGGGACACAGAATTGTTACTGAGGGACACAGAATTGTTACTGAGGGACACAGAATTGTTACTCAGGGACACAGAATTGTTGCTGAGGGACACAGAATTGTTACTCAGGGACACAGAATTGTTACTGAGGGACACAGAATTGTTACTGAGGGCCACAGAACTGTTACTTAGGGCCACAGAAACGTTACTTAGGGCCACAGAAACGTTACTTAGGGCTACAGAAACGTTACTTAGGGCCACAGAATCGTTACTTAGGGCCACAGAAACGTTACTTAGGGCCACAGACAATAAATGTTACTTAGGGCCACAGAATTGTTACTTAGGGACAGACACAGAATTGTTCCTGAGGGACACAGATTTGTTACTGAGGGCCACAGAACCGTTACTTAGGGCCACAGAAACGTTACTTAGAGACACAGAATTGTTACTCAGGGACAGACACAGAATTGTTACTAGGGACACAGAATTGTTAATCAGGGACAGACACAGAATTGTTACTGAGGGATACAGAATTGTTACTGAGGGACACAGAATTGTTACTCAGGGACAGACACAGAATTGTTACTCAGAGACAGACACAGAATTGTTACTGAGGGACACAGAATTGTTACTGAGGGACACAGAATTGTTACTCAGGGACACAGAATTGTTACTGAAGGACACAGAATTGTTACTGAGGGACACAGAATTGTTACTCAGCGACAGACACAGAATTGTTACTCAGGGACAGACACAGAATTGTTACTGAGGGACACAGAATTGTTACTGAGGGACACAGAATTGTTACTCATGGGACACAGAATTGTTACTGAGGGACACAGAATTGTTACCAGGGAGGACACAGAATTGTTACTCAGAGGGACACAGAATTGTTACTGAGGGACACAGAATTGTTACTCAGGAACAGACACAGAATTGTTACTCAGGGACAGACACAGAATTGTTACTGAGGGACACAGAATTGTTACTGAGGGACACAGAATTGTTACTGAGGGACACAGAATTGTTACTGAGGGCCACAGAACCGTTACTTAGGGCCACAGAAAAACGTTACTTAGGGACACAGAATTGTTACTCAGGGACAGAGACACAGAATTGTTACTCAGGGACAGACACAGAATTGTTACTGAGGGACACAGAATTGTTACTGAGGGACACAGAATTGTTACTCAGGGACACAGAGAATTGTTACTGAGGGACACAGAATTGTTTACTCAGGGACACAGAATTGTTACTCAGGGACACAGAACTGTTACTCAGGGACACAGAATTGTTACTCAGGGACAGACACAGAGTTGTTACTGAGGGACACAGAATTGTTACTGAGGGACACAGAATTGTTACTGAGGGACACAGAATTGTTACTCAGGGACACAGAATTGTTACTGAGGGACACAGAATTGTTACTGAGGGACACAGAATTGTTACTCAGGGACAGACACAGAATTGTTACTCAGGGACAGACACAGAATTGTTACTGAGGGACACAGAATTGTTACTGAGGGACACAGAATTGTTACTGAGGGACACAGAATTTGTTACTGAGACAGGCCACAGAACCGTTACTTAGGGCCACAGAAACGTTACTTAGGGACACAGAATTGTTACTCAGGGACAGACACAGAATTGTTACTCAGGGACAGACACAGAATTGTTACTGAGGGACACAGAATTGTTACTGAGGGACACAGAATTGTTACTCAGGGACACAGAATTGTTACTCAGGACAGACACAGAATTGTTACTCAGGGACAGACACAGAATTGTTTACTCAGGGACAGACACAGAATTGTTACTGAGGGACACAGAATTGTTACTCAGGGACACAGAATTGTTACTCAGGGACACAGAATTGTTACTCAGGGACACAGAATTGTTACTGAGGGACACACACAGAATTGTTACTCAGCGGAGACAGACAGGGGACACAGAATTGTTACTCAGGGACAGACACAGAATTGTTACTGAGGGACACAGAATTGTTACTGAGGGACACAGAATTGTTACTGAGGGACACAGAATTGTTACTGAGGGACACAGAATTGTTACTCAGGGACACAGAATTGTTACTGAGGGACACAGAATTGTTACTGAGGGACACAGAATTGTTACTGAGGGGGACACAGAATTGTTACTCAGGGACACAGAATTGTTACTGAGGGACACAGAATTGTTACTCAGGGACACAGAATTGTTACTCAGGGGGACAGACACAGAATTGTTACTCAGGGACACAGAATCGTTTAATTAAAGAGTATGTCAGACAACATGCATAGGAGTGGCAGAGGAGGCAATGTTTTAGGAGCGAGCAGACGTGGCAGCAGAGGAAGGGGTCGAGGCAGCACTAGTCGCAGCCAGAGGCCAGTGCTCCCGGTGTCATCCAGCGGTCGTGTCTCCACCGACAACCCTGCCGTCATCGATTGGTTGGCTCGGTCGTCTTCCTCTCTTCCCAGGTCACCTCTGACACCTACAGCCAACGGTCGGTGGGTACGTCAGACACAACCGTTAGTTGGCATGGCCCGGGAGCAAGCCCACTGAAATCACGTGTCCTTGACCTGCCCCTGTCCTTTGGTGTTCCCTCACCCAAGCGAAGTATCGTATGCTGTGGGCTCAGCCCCACTGTACAGTGAGGAAGAGCTAACAGAGGGCGGTCAGGAACGGGGGGGAGACATCCACCTCTTCAGCAGCCAGGCGAAGACCAGTACTGGCGAGGAGAGTGGCTCGGTAGCCGGTCTAGAGACAGGTCTGACTCCTGACCCCACACGCAGCCGAGGGGGCTAGTAGTGAGGCGGAGACCCTAATTGATGATGATGAGGCTGATCGCACTTGGCAGCCTCGTCTCATCACACTAGGCTATTGCTTCCGCATCATCAGGAGAAGAGGGTGGCAGCTTGGCAGCGAGCAAAACAGTCGGTGGGTTGCCCAGGAGGCAGCAGGGTCGCAGCAGTGTCAGTGGAGGCAAACGGCCACGGAGTACAGCACCAGCTCCACTGCAGCCTACCACCACGGCCAGTAGTGGTGCCGGGTGTGCACGGAGGAAGGCAGCAGTCAGCCAGTGAGGAGTATCGGGGGCAAAGTTTCCTACTCGGCGGTGTGGCAATTTTTTTTGTCAAGCCGCCCCGAGGAAGTAAACGTAGCCGTATGTCCCGACTATGTGGCCAGAAAGTCAAGCGTGGCCAGGGGGCCCATGTTGGGACTACAGCGTTGCGTCAGCATAGCAGCGTCGCCATTTGGTGGCCTGGAAAAAACCGTGATAAAGTTACGGCGAGTTCTGCCTGCCCCAGCCCTGGTTCCCGCACTTTTTGTCATAGGGTGCTGGCACAATTACGGGCCTCCCATAGCTGCTGCCTGCCAGGCCCCTAATCTGCCATGGGCCCCTGTAGCCGCCCTCCTCATGCTGCTGCCAGGTCCACAGTGTCTCATGCCATGTGCCACTTTCAGGTCTCCTCACACACTGCTGAGTGTGTTCCATTTTTTG